AGGTCCTCAGGACGGTTTCTACGGTTGAAACGTTTCAGCACAAAGAGGACCATATTTAAATTTGTTGGATTTTTTTTACCTGGATTATTGAGCATGAACTTTGATGTTTTGAACCACTTTGGACATGGCTGCCTCAGAGAAGTCGACGGAGGAGAGGGCGAACTCCAGAAACCATCTTATCACCATCAAACTGGTTGGCCCAGTGATGTGAGTGTGCTACTTATGGGACTGAGTTTGTTGTGTCTCCTCAGACTGATGAAGTCCTTTGGATGAAAGATGAAACGTTTCATAAAGAAACCGTCCAGAGGACCTGGTTTAACTTTGTTGGATTTCTCTGAACTGTTAGAACTTTATGTTTTATGTCATTGTACAATAATTTCAAAATCCAGGAGAAGTAATGTTGATTGTGAATCCCACACCAGAAAGAGAAGCATGCTTGGTTCCATGCTAACCAGTTTCCTTGTGTCATTTGATGTGGGATTTCTGCTGCTCGTGTTGCAGACAGGTCATGTGCAGAACGTGGCCTGGAATTGTTCTGGTCAAATCAGCGATAGTTTTTTAACTCAACATGATTTATCAGCTTCAGATGTTAGACAACCTGCAGCAACGCCGAAGAAGTTCTTCATTAAAGACTGAGCTGGCAATATGGGTGCTGACGCTTTTTCATCTTTCTCCAGGAAACTTTGAACAACTCCTCCCTTCTTTTCAAATTATCTCCATTGTTTTTCCCTGCTCTTCTCTGTTTTCCTTTGTTTTGACCTCCTGCTTTGTTGCATTCTTTTTATCTTCCACTACAAGACCTTTAGCTTAAGAACAGAATAAACACGTTTCAGAAACAGAGAACGGTTTGGGGCTAAATGATCCCACATTTGAACACATCTACTTTACTTTTACTCCCAATCAGAGCAAAAATATGTCTGTTCACACTGAGCCTATAAAAAGGCGGGAGGCCGTGACCTCTGTGAGTAAACCTATGTGGTAAATAAAAGCGTTCCACCCAAACCATGAGGCAGTGGTTTGTGTGCTAACCTCCTGGCTTCAGTGCAGGCAGAGCTGTTTGTGAGAGGCTGCAGGAATCCCTCCCTGAACCTCTCTGTTCTCCACATTTCATTTCTCCTAAGTTTCCCAGACCTCCCCCAAGATTATCTCATGTCAGCTTTGGGAGAAGCTATTTCCACATTCCTGGACCCTGAAACAATCAGCGAACAGGAAAAGTGTGCTGGTTTCACAATCGCCCCGTTACTCTCGTTTATCATCATTTGAAATGTTGGTCACAAACATTTGGGTGGATGGAGTTGATGAAACCTCTGGCTCCACATGTTGGTGTGTGCATCTGTTTGAGAGGTGAGCTCATGTTGGAGTGGTTTTTTATTTTATTTTTATCATAACTGAGCTGTAAGCTAGACTTGTTATCCGTCCGACCCTGATTCTGACCTCCTCCCACGTGCGCTCCTCTGACTCCAAATGTGCTTTAGATTTGACTGGAAATGAGCACTCTCTCCAACACTTGCGTAACACACGCCTTGTATCGTAATGTCATGACTTGGGCATTTTGTAATCCAGCAGAACTAAAGTTTATGAGTAACTAATCTGTAAGAATGAAATTCACTCAATATTAGCAGTTTTTATTCCACGTTAGCTTCAAAACTGCAGCAAATAGTTGTTCATGGCAGGAAATTTCACAGTTTTGAAGTCGGTTTTGCTGCAAACCCTGAACAGAAACCAAGATTTCTGCATCAGTAAAACAGTAAAAATAAAAACAATTGTACATATATAGGCCGTGCTTGTATATAAGCCGCGGGTGTCCACATTGTAACATGAGATATTTAAGCAAAAATATATATTTTTTAAATTCAGGTAATATACACAAATATGTACAATAAATGTGTTTTTTTCTGAACAATGCATGTAACATGACTGGTAAAATAAAAAAATAAAAATAAAAAACCAGTATCCTACCAGGAAGTCATTGATCACTACCTTCATGTTCCAGTCATCCAAACCTCCCACCGAGCTCGACGTGCCACATTAATGCACGTTTCACACTTATTTCGAGTGGCTGCAAATACTTTGTCCAGGGAGGGGGGAACAAATGAAGTTTCCCCTCTTCCTGGAGGCACAACAGGGAGGGGAGGAGACGTTTCACCCCCTTCCCACTGGGAACTGTTCGGTAATTTCATTGGTCAGATTATACAGGTGGTTTCATTGAGTCACGAGGACACCCCACCCACCCCCAAGAGAGACGTGTAATGGGCAGCTATGTGAGCACCCGGGTGTGACGAGGCTAAATGTTTTGGTGGCATGCAGCTTGTTAGCCTGTCAAAAAAATAAATTAAAAAAAATTGCCGTAGCATTGTATAATTCGCAGAGTTTAAAGCTTGTGAAAAAAGTAGCAGCTTATAGTCCAGAAATTACAGTAGTTTGTTTACTTTATGTTCATAGAAAATAAAATCCAAAACATCTGGACTTGATACTCCAGAGGAGCAGTGAACGCATCATGAAGTTTGAAGTTGAAGCTGGGAGGAGATACTGAGGACTCTGGATTGTTTCAGAGCTGATAAAGAGCTACATACCGTTCATTTCAGAATCTGTGCTGCTCACTGAGAGAATGCCAGTTCAAACAGCAGTGTTTGTTTTGTTTATTTATTTATTAGTTAATGATTTAGACCCCAAAATATGCTCCTATGAGCACAGGGAAGTTATTTTTCATGCCTCCTTCAGGTAGCAAATATTGAGGTGCCCTTGTCACTATTCTGATTTTTGTAAGTTTTCACACCCTTAGAAGACGTCAAAACAAAATCTGCAAAGTATTTGTCAAAACATGCAACTCAGTTGTGAAAAGTGTGATATGACTTTTGGTAGGGATATATCAAATAATGTCAACAAATTCACAAAAAAAGTGTAAATTATGGTAAACTGATAACTCTATATGGCTATGTCATACTTTACTCTAACATCAGTCAAAGTTTAAACTTCTCACAGCAAGTTGAAATTTACACAACTGGGCATTTTGATTTCAGCTCACACCCAAATAAACTTTTATAGATACAAACCATTTTCTTCAAAGCAGGAAGTGAAGGGTCTTTTTAACTTGTCATATTTCATTCAAAAACACATGCAGACACATAAAAATCCACCTGTGTGACTGTAAGAGTCTTCTGCTGCTCACAGCTGAAGAACTTTAAAGTTATGACTTTTATTTTTTTATTGTTTGGATGAGGCTAAAAATTTAGTCTGTCTTCCTGGCAGCCTCACCTGAGAATGCAAGTGTGAGACAGAAGTCTGGTAATGAGCCTTTGCAGCAAATTAAACTTTTTTATACATTTATTTGACTTTTTATACATTTATTTCATGTTGCTGTGTTCATTCCTCTTCATCTGCTCACACAGACTCATGTACGTGCTGCTGTTGTTTGGCGTATTGTTTTATACTAATGTTTAGTGTATTACTAGCTTAGGGAATTCTTAGTGTATTCTTAGTTTAGCATATTTCTTAGTTCATATCTTTAGATCTTACTACTGTTTTTCTTTACAATTTGTATTTTTGATGTATGTAACTGTGGCCCTGTGTACATAGTTTCGTTCCACATCATGTACTACATTTGATGTGAATGCTAATAAAAAACCTTGAATCCTTAATTTAGTTTTCTTCACATTTATTCTACAGCTTCCACTTCTAAATGTGTCTTTCATCTTAGCTTGATCTGTTAGTGATTTATTTCAGAATTTTGAGCAGTGCTGCGTTGGCACCATTTAACATTTCTCAAGTTTTAACTCTGTACAGCTGCTGTTTTCTGAAGATCCTGTTTCCCAATGAATTCTCGTTGAACAGTCTCACTCAGCTCTGTAAAGATGTAAAACACAGCAGTTTTCAAACCCCTTTGTCTTGTGACTGTCCGTAAAACTAACTTTAGGAGTTTATCCTCATGATATCTAAATATGAGACCATGGAGTGGACACTTGTCTTCCTTAATAGGAGAAAACCAGGAGGGAACTCTAAAACTTTCTGGAAGACCTCATGTATGAAGAAACTAGAAAAAGAAAGAAAGTAGAACTGATGACTTCATTATAAACATACACTTTGAGATGTTTCACAGGAAATAATTAGATTCAATTCAGTTTATTTATATAGCTCCAAGTCACAACAGAAGTCATCTCAGGGCACTGAACGGAAACATACATCTATAAAAATTTAATTTAATAACACTATTTATCTGAGGAGCAGACTGCTCTGAGTTTAACTTCATCACAGTCTCTCATCTTGAGCAAGCATGAAGGCGACAGTGGAAAGGAAAAACTCCCTTATGAGGAAGAAACCTTTAGCAGAACCAGGCTCAGGACAAGCGGCCATCTGCTTCGACCGGCTGGGTTTGAGAGGAATAGATACACAATGGCAGGTCAAGAATCACATGTTGAGAGAAATAGTATCAAATGAAAACTATTTAATTTTAGCAAATCATTTAAGGAAATTAGGTCATTTTGTCTAGTAGTCTAAACCTACAGCAGCATGACAAGCCAACCCTAATTATAGGATTTATCAAAAAGGAAAGTATTAAGCCCAGTCTGAAAACTGGACAATGTGTCAACCTTACAGACAGGAAGTTGGTTCCACAAGAGAGGAGCCTGATAACTGAAAGATCTTCCTCCCATTCTGCCTTTGGGAACTCTAGGAACCGCGGGTAAGCCTGCAGTCTGAGAGAGAAGTGCTCTGTTAGGAAAATATGGAACAACTGTAATATAATGGAGCTAGATTGTTGTGGGCTTAATTATTTAAATAACATAATTAATAATCCTCATTAAAGAAGCTCACAAAGCAACGTGTTTTGAACTTGAAACAACTGGATGCATGGTGTCAGGTGCTCCTCTCTCCGCAGTTTGCTGGTTGTCCTGGCAGCAGGTGGATTTTCTTCTTCTTCCCTCCCTTCTGGCACTCTTCCAGTTCCCGCCTCCAGATGTTCGGAGGTCTGACGGGGTTCCCGTTCAGACACAGCCCCTCATTGAGCTGAGCCGCCGACCGGACCTGTCCTGCTGGAATATTCGCTCCTGTTTGTCCGGGTCAAACTTGTTTTGGGTGTGTGTGTGGACGCGGACATGGCGGACGGGTGCTTTCTGTCCGCGCTGCAGCCCAACTCGTCGTGCACAGCCTACGCGCTGCCCTCGGACGGCCCGTCCCCGGACCCGCTGGCTAAAGCCCGGAGGGTCCAGGAGCAGGTCCGGATGCGGCTGGCCGAGAAGAAGTCCTCCTCCCTGCCCAGACTGGACGACTCGCGCCCGGGAGCCTTTGCAGGTGAGCTCGCCAGAATAACGGTTTTTTGTCGCGCGAGCGGCGTTTTTTTTTCAAAGTAGCTGCGGATGATAATGGTTGTGCTCGCGTGTGCGTCTGACACCGAAATAAATCATGAACTTCCGAACGAATTTTATCGAAACTTATTGGAAGTATTGGCTGTACATAAAACTGATCAACTTTTATGGAGTTAACCCGATTCAAGATGGCTGCCGCAGCCAACAGACCCCAAAGAACACAAACATGGCCACAACTCGGTCAGTTTGTAAACATACTGAGCTCACTTTTGGTGTGCTGCCATGGCAACACATACTTTGAGCCAGGGGCGTCCTAGAACCTAACTTTATGGGGTGCTTAGCCCCCCAGTGCTTTTGGTTAGAAAAAAGTGGTGGCCATGCAAGTTAAATAATAAACAGTTATTTCATTGGGTCAAATGATTATGTTTCTAAAGACCTATAAACTGAGATGGCTTAGTCATAGTAATTAGAACTTTCCAAAATAAGTGAAAGATGATGCATGGCAAATCTAACATTTGATCATTTTCTGGGTTTTAATGCTCTGGTAAAGTGATGGTAAAGTGGTAAGGGTGCACTTGACCCTATGATAATTTGTCTTTTTGTCCTTGGTTGCTCCAGGGACAGAGTAGGGAGGGAGTAGTTTAGTAGGCCCACCGTACGTCACCCTGTACTAACAAAAGTAAACGTCTCGTGCAGTAATTGCTTTGAAGTAGGCGTGAGAAGATTATACAATTTTATGACAAGAAACACAATACACCTTGCAGTTGGTGTACAAGTCACTGGTTGAAAGTGTTGTTTCAATATTGTCTCATGGGAACCTGCTAGCCAGAGACAGGAACAAGTTGTCCTGGGTGGTCAAACAAGTAGTAAAATCATTGGTAATCATCAGATGAAACTTACAGACCTGGACAGTCAGGCTCTATGCAAAAAGGAAATGCAGGTTTACTTTGACCCAACCTATCCACTGCAACCATTATTCAGGTTGGTACCATCTGGTAGAAGACTGGTGGTTCCTCTGGTTAAGAAAAATGGGTACAAAAAGTAATTTGTTCCTTCTGCTGTGTGTCCTTAATAGGGTCCAATTTAAACGTAGCCTCACATGACAAAGTCTGTTAAGATGTTTTGATGTTTTTAATGTATCATGCATTTTAGAACTGGTTTTACTGGGTTAGCAAAGCTTTTTAAAGATTTATTGCATTTTAAACTTTTGTTGTTTTGTATGAGCCAGATGTCAAAGATAAAGCTCCATCTCAGGAAATGTTATGGACAATAAAGTTATATTGATTGATTGATTGATTGGTATTTTACCATGATTCCAGGTGTGGGGGCTGTGATTCTTGACAGAGTGTCCTTGCATTCATGGTTCAAAAGACATATTGCCCACAAGGCAGATGATGCTTTAAACAATTTTAACAGCTTTTAATGATGGTCACATATATAAATCAAATATATCAATCAAATCCCATGCAGACGTACACCCATCTGGAACAACCCTGACATCCTGCAACAGAATAATATGAAAATCTTCCCAGGTTGGAGGTGTAAAGGGATCGAATACCTGGAACATATAGTATATGAGGAAGTAGACTCAGGTATATCCCATTTAACAGATTAATAACACAATATGGGATTGATAAGACTGAATTTTTAGAATATCAACAAATTAAATCTATAGCAAAAAACAAGTTTAAGCTCAATAACACTAGGATTGAAATACCAACAAGCATATTAGTGTTCCTTAATCTTAACCCTCCCAAATTACTATCTAAGATTTACAAACACTCAGTAAAATAGATGAATCAATATCCCTTCCCATTGTAAAATGGGAGACAGACTTGTCAGTCAACTTGACAAAAACTTCTGGTCTCAGATATGTCGAAGAACTTTAAAAATGATTAAAACCTCCAATTTACAGTACATTGTACAGGTCAACGGATGTTCAGGATGGGTTTTACATCATCTAGTACCTGCTCACAGTGTACAGGTAATATTCCTGACAATCACATCCACACATTTTGGTTCTGTCCACCTGTTCAGAGGTTTTGGTGCCAGACATGTGAAGACATCAAAGTGTCTGAGATGTAATATTCCACCCTCTCTGTCAGTTTGCTTATTGGGTCACTTTGATGGTGTCACCTTGGAGACAAAGTCAATTCACATGATTTTTACTGCCTTTGAGTGCTAACAGGTTGCACAACATTTTGAATTAAATTTAGCTGTTTTGGAGTCAACTCTGTCTGTCTGTTAGCAAAACATCTAATGAACCCCAGTACGGATTTTAATGAAACCTTCAGCAAATAATCATTCAAGGATTCAAGGTTCTTTATTTGCCATTATAGCCAACCTAATTCAAGATGTCTGCCACATCTGACCCACATTTAAAACTACATAAATTATGATTCAGTTAATTTGACTGATATTTTGCTAACATTTGATGAGGTAGTAGTTGAGTCATTTACTTCATATACTACAATCAAGTGCTACTCATTATTTTAGATTTTTGCCTATAATTTGTGCTTTAATTGCTGGTAGTCAAATCTGTTAGCAAAATATTTTATGAACCACTGGACAAATTTTATTGAAACTTTCAGAACGTAATTATTGGCTGTACATCTGATTACCATATGATCTAATGCAAGATGGCCACCACAGCGAATCAACACTAGCCCACATAAAAAAGGCTTTGACCAAAACGTCCACAGCTTCTTTTTTCTCCCCTCAAGATGATTTTAGTTTAGAATGCTGTCATGAAAGGAGGCGGGTGTGATGTGTCTCTTTTATTCAAATTAGAGACCGGTATCTGTCCAGACCCTCCTGCTGTGGATTAAACCCAAGCACAGTCACATTTAAGCACCAATATTTCAATAAAATTTTCACTTCTTTGTAAACGTGAATCAGAGTTGAATTTAAAGAACCAATCTAAAGTAATGTTAGACTTTACTTGCAGGCTGGATTTGGTAAGTGTGTGATGGAGCCAACTGTTGCTCATTTATCGGTCACGTTCAGCACTCGCAGGGCAACAGGAGCCGCCAGGATTTAACTAGTCCAAAATCCAAAACAGACTTCACTCTGTTTGTCCTAAAAACGTCTTCACTCTGCCTTGTTTTATTCCTGTTTGAGACGGTCATAAACACCCACACCACTGGAACCTCTGAAGAGTTCATAAACATGATGCAGCAAAGTTTTCATAGGGTTTTCCCAAACCTTTTGTTTCTTCCTTGTAAAAGAAAGGAAAAAGGGAAAATGGGGTTCTGGCAGTACTTCATTTTTAATCTAAAGCTATCAGATTAGTAAAGCTAAGGTTGGATTGGGGAGGGGCTGTGGTTCAGTGGTCAGTGCCATGATCTTATAATCCTGGGCTGCAGGTTTGAGCCCAGGTCGCATCAGGATTAAGGATCTTGTATAAAACAGTGTGCCAGTATTTCAAATTAGTTTGTGGTTGTGCCCTTGCAGAAATAGCAACAAAAAACAAAAAAAACATCAGGGATTGAAAATCAAGTGAATCAATAAAGTTGTATGATCTTTTTTTGAGTTAAGCCAAAACAATCGAAAAATAATCTTGTGATCATTCCAAGCTGACCTTGAAACTTTGACATTTATTGGATTTATAATAAGAGTTGTTTGTAGGGTGGAAACATCTCAACACAACAGAGGCGGAGGTTTTGTGCAACTGAGTCAGTCAGTTTTGTAGCACATTTAAAAACAAAAGTGCTTTACTGACAACACAAAATTTAAATATAAAATCATTTAAACACAAGAACAAAACCACAATAAAATATACTTTGAAAAAAAATAAATATATATTGAAAGGCAAACTGTTCCATAAATTTAGGACAGCCACTGCAAAAGACAGATGTTTCAGATTTAGTTTGGATCTTAGGACCGTAGCGCTCATCCTCGTGTGTAGATGCTAGGAAAGTTAAAAAAGTATAAGACTTTTTAAACTTTAAAAGTCAATATTATTACCATATTTGAAAGTCTATCTGAAAGACATGCCAAGACAGGGATTTTGTGTTCTTGCTTCTTCTTCTGCTGCATTTTGGACAGTTTGAAGGCGATGCAGTGAAGACTGATTTAGATTGACATACAACAGATTACACGTAGTCTAGATAGGAAGTGATAAAAGCATGACTAACTTTCTCTAAAGTTTTCACAAAGAGATCCCACTGCAATTTGGCCATAAATCTGAGTTGGAAGAAGCTAGATTTAGCAACAGCGTTAATCTGTAATTAGTGATGTCATTATCTGTAATCTGTTAAATGATGTGGTGTCCTCAGAGTTCAACTTTTTGTCTTTCAAACAGTGACAGCAGTGGATAAAAGCAAACATGTTCAGAGGGTTTGCTTCCACAGACTGTATTCTCTATTTGTGTGTTTTAAAATCAGCAGGCGTCATACATCCAAGTGCAAATCACACTAAACTTAAAGAGGATTTAAAAACCTGTGAGACACATCGGAAGAGTCGTATATGTTTCTGTGCACACTGAGAACCTGTGAATGAGTTGTTTCCTGGTCATTTCCTGTTTTTTCACCCCCACTTTATGGAAAATCTAATCATGACATCATAGATTCCTGGCAAGGCCTTTTTTTTAGAAGTGTTGAGCAAAAAGTGGTGTTCAGTCCAGTTGTCATATTTAGGCACACAGGTTATTCAAAGATTTCAAATGATCCACACTGGTGTCATTATAGGACAAACTGTATTGATTTTGTAAGAAAACCAGCAGAGGAAGGAGGAATCCCTCCTCCTTACAACTGGTGCTCCCTTCTCAGTTTGAGGAGACAACGGGGTGTCACTTTGACCCACAACGTAGTCAGGATGCTGTGCTGCACGTAAGCTTGAAGGAGAGCCTCATTCAGTTCTAAAATGACTAAACTTTGGGGGTGTAGTAGTACACATAACTCATGATTTGGTCCTTTATTTCTTACACAGCATATGGGTCACAGTTCAGTATGGGTTCAGTACAACAGAAAAAAAAGTTAATTTTTA